GCTTGTGTTACAACTTGCAAGGACAGACTAAAGTGCTATCTGAACTTTAACTCAATCTGACACAATCCATGATAGACCTTTTTAATTTTTTTTTTTAAGTAGGCCAAAACAACAAAAAATAAGCAGAAGTTTTAGAATCAACTATTTCAACATTTTTGGGGGGGAGGGGGAATTAAAATGGCATTTCTTAATTAAAAAGAAAGTTTACAGATCTTTTTTCCAGTATGCATGCAGTACATGCACACACAATTCTAGTTCTAATATTTTCTAATAGTTGTTAATGGATAGTTGCTTATTTAAAAGCATGATCAGCTAGTCCATCTCATCATGACTGCATGATTCTCAACCATAGCACTTAATCTTCTTGTATAAATACCAGCCATATTTCTCCCATAAGAACTTTTTCTTAAGCACTTAAAATTGTATTATTCTATTTGAATCAGAGGCAGAAAAATGTGATACAAAATGTAAAACAGTATTAGGAAGCGGCTGGAGAACAGTTGGTTTGCTCTGTATCTTATACCTTCAAAATGGAAATCTGAAGCAGAGAAAGATTGACTCATAATAGCAGTTAATGAATATATAAGTAGGCTGCAATTAATTAAGCAGATATGTTGCTTTTTTAAACTTCCCTTCTGTATTATAGTCTTCCTTTTTATCTCATTTTGCTCAGTCCAACTCTTCTGACAGCTATTGACAGCAAGAGCCAAAAATACCACAGGTTCTCCTACAGAAAAACCCTACCAATACTGACTGCTAAATCCAGTGGTGCATGTCAATTTGATGACTCATGTCTCTCATTTCATTTTAATCTCCTTTCCTTTCATGTTGAGGACCTGAAGTTTTACAGTTTCATTACAGCCCGCTCCTTTGCCTTCTCTCATATACCTAAGACTAAGTAGGACAAGTAGGAAAAGCCCACGCTGGCTGTCACTAGCAGCATTTGTGCTGTTGTGATAGCAGGCTTTAACAATTTACAGTTTCTCTAGAGCTTAAACAAAAGGAACAGAGACAGGAACAACTCTCAGTAATGCCACCCTGCTTGCCACAGAGTAGTAAGGTTTAAGAAGGAAATATCCTGTTTCCTCTTTCCTCTTGCTTGCTTCCCTACAATGCTGAAGTCTGTAGAAATTAGAGGAATAGCCACATTCACATTTTAAGCTGTGCATTAAACAGAAGCAAAACAGACATTCAAATCTAAGACTTGAGTGCTTGCTATTGTGTTTTTTATACTTTCCTGCTCAAACAGAATGACTACACTTACATGTGGCCATGATTAAGGCTGCTCTGTCATTTATGTTTTTTAAGATAGCCATACCAGTTTGTTTTTTCATTAGTCATTTAAAGGTCAGACCAGTTTATCTTGTCATGTGTTTTGGTAGAGACTGGACTTGGACAGAGAAAAGATACTTCTATTATACATTTCCATTAAACATCTGCAGCTGCCTCTGACTTAGATTGGGTTTGGATACTTGAACACAGGCATATGAACTCCAGCGTGCAAGCAGGCCCCCAAAACATCTAGTCTTCATTAAAAAAAAAAAAAACCAAACCAAAACCAGAAAGTTCCTAGAAATTATGGTACTACTTTCAGGACTGGTAGTGCTAAATCAGCTACTTTGCACAGTTACAGTTTAGAGATGGTGCGATCTAAAAATTTACGCTCATGCTGGTTGATATTCTTTGACATTTGTGGACTTAATGCCTACAAATGTGCAAGTCTACAATTGTAACATGAACCCAGCTCTCTTCTCGTTCATCCAAATAAACATGAGAGGGGAAAACTGAGCACATGATATACTAGCGCATGGTATGTGTTTTCCAAAAGCAAACCAAAGCTAGTTGCTCTAGGCACTTTGACATTTATGAATATAGTGTACTTCCTACTCTAAGTCTTTAACTCAATGATCTATATCATACAGCCACCTACAGTAACCAGGTCATCAGTGAACTTGAGAGATAAGAGCAGCATTTCTTCACGGAAAATTGGGGGTTTTGGTTTTGCAAAAGATTATTTACAATATACTTAGCTTCTGACAGTCAAATTAATTCCAGTTTTGTTTTTTACTATGTTACAATGAAAAACAACTTAAACCCTGAAAATGACAGGTAACTGTCAAGCTATATTTAACTACCATATTTCACTTAGGAGGAAACATCATTTGAATAAACAGATGGTGTTGCTATGGGGTTGCCATCATTAGCAGAAGCTGTAGAAGCACACATTTGACTCTGAAAATGGCAGATATAAAGGACAAGAAAACCATATGTCATATTGGGCATTTCCAGAAGCAAAACCATGGTTATACTAAATCTTAGTTTGTTTCATTCCTCCACTCAATAACATAGTTTTACTGTCAGGGTTGCTTGAATTCCTGAGAACTAAATAAGAACTGAGTCTTGCTAACCAATTCTCAATTAATTTCAGGAGTATTTGCATTCCTACCTCCTTTGCTCCCTCCCCTGAAATCCCTGGGAAAGTGAATGTACAATTTTGGTTACTACATCAAATCATTTATGTAGCTGGAAGTCTGTTGAAAATAGATTGTCGTGCTATTTCAGGAATATGAACACCACTAGCCAGCTAACATATTTAGTCAATGTTATTTAAATGTTATTTAAACACCTAGTATGGAATAAAAAAAAAAAGCTATGAAAATAAAGAAATAGACAGAGTATTCCAGTTCATCCAAAGAAATGCAACTGTAAATATATTTATGATACATGTCGTTACTTGTATTAGGAGTTGAACTTGACTAAAAATGGACATCACACTAGGAGAGAGGCACTGTCTTATTTCCAAGAATTGCTTTAAAACTGCAACAGCTATTTTCATTTACAACAGAATTTTCATCTGCTTACTCAAACAAGTAACAGTTCAAATTCCAAATTAGTACCAAGAGGGAATGAAAAGGTAATCAGGGACAATATTTCATCAGCTGGTTATATAAGTTAATCATAATTCGAGAACGCTGAATATAATTTTGACACTATACTTGTGGATTACTTTGAGATTTAAAAAGTGATTGGTTAGATTTCATTTTGACCTTGCTTGTATTTCACTCATGTACATGTAGAAAAATAACAACCGTAACCAATCAGTTCAGCAACACTTAAAAGAGCATTTCCACAAAACTAATTCTGATATGCAGAACGGACTCTGATTATTACTTACTTCAGAATTTCTCAGTGTACTAACACAAGGACAGACCTGCAGGAAAAGGCTTAAGCTCCCTTGAAAACCTTACCACTAACATGCCGCTGCACTACAAAGTCTACAAAGTCAGATCAGTTGCTAGGAAAGATTAACATATGGCGAACGGGAAAATCCCATTACTGACACAATAGCCACATCATAGTTCAGTGTCAGAATCTTAGCGAACTTTAAGACAAATGATATCATTTTATGTACAACCATCACCAAGGCAACAAGAGTATGGAAGTACTGAGCAAAATGAGGGCACAAAAGAAATACTGTAACAAGATAAACTGAATAAAAAACAGACCATAAAAATATCAATGGGAACCATCTTCCAAGTGTAATACAGTAAAATAAGAATGTGAAAGGTCATGTATTACATTGGACAGAGGTAAATATGCTTTCTTTGTTAACAACAAACGTATATAGTAAGGAAACTTACCTACCTTCCTATAGACACTACACAAATCACTCCTCAAAAACTTAAATTCTGAGATTTTTTTGCTGTTGTGACAAGCCTGGTTTTGATCTGGAGCAGAAGTTTCTATGCATTATAACTGGAAAGTTTCCTTCTGTGTTTACTAAACATCTGGCACTAATGGCAAAGCAGATTAGATGTTTTTGTTTCAGTACCCAGTATCATAACCTTTGGAACAGCCATTTCCACTTTCAAGGGTATTTCCTTTCTAAGGTACAACTGTCAGATTCGTATACACTACCTGTTAACCTGAGGTAGAAGGTGTCATAACAAACATTCCAATTTGCAAGTAAAAAGGACTTGGCTCAGTCCTTAGCCTTACACATCTAAGGTCCCTGGGTGGAACAAATCCCCAAACCAAGTTGCTGGCCAAATTTGTTTCCATATCTTCTTTCATGTTATTTGTAGAATTATGAGCACCCTCGTGCCCTCCTTCCTTCAAAATGAGATGTAATTGCATTTTATTTGCATTACACCTGGCAGTGATCATAAAGCTTTTATACTTTAATGATAATGAAGAGTGTAAGCATAGATAGCTGCATGTAAGTAGAACCTTCTTGCCAGATACAAAGCCAGTATCCTCTATACAGAAGTACTATTATAGCATCTTTTTAAGCCATAGGTATTACAATGGAGACCAAGTAGCACAATCATTAACTTCAATGATATCATTGTGCCTAGCATACAGATCTTTCCAACACGCTCCAGATCATTACCACTAACCAGAGATTAGCACCCATGACATTTTATCCAAAAAATTAAGCACACAAACAGCTTCAGTCTACTTGCAAAAGCAAAGCCATCCAGGATATTATAAATAATCCGAATTACATGTTAGATCTGTAATAAAGAATTGTAAATAGCAAGCTATTGTAATGGTTATAAACTACCTCAGAGCATTCAGCCAGGAGTTGGTTTGTGAAAGGTTTTTATAATTCTTCCAGCAATGAAAGAAGCAGCACCCTAGAAAAAGAAGCTTAACTTCAGAAGCCAAATTAATGAATGCATACAAATTGAGATTCCTCCCCACTCCTCTCAGAGGCAACACTTCCTGCTCTCGCAATTTTATCATGACTCTCACTATTTTTAGTGCTTTTCTTAGAGTGTCTGCTGCTGGAATCACGCCTGAGAGTCTTAGCGTTAATTTTAAAAGAAAAGATTTCCACTCCCCTGCATCCTGAGAAAAGCTTGAAAGTGTGAAACCAGTGCAGCCTACAAGCTAAAAAACTAGAAATAATACAAGAAATTCAGGGTGGATTTTGTTTTGTTTTAAAAAAACCTCATGACTTCTAAGCTGATTCCTTGAATGGCAGGAGCTAGATAATGCATCGACTCCTCATAGCTGACTGTCCACTGGAATCTCTCCAGAGCAGATGTAAGGCACATCAGCAGTTTTACATGGAAAAAATATGCAATGCCACTTTCGCTGCTCTTTCTATGCAGTGGATCTTCTTACTCTTCAGAATGCTAATCCAGCTTCTCTTAAAAATCATAATTTTAAAGAGAACACTTGACCTTTTGAACTAAGAATTAATATTATTTTGTGCACAAACTATTTTTGGTTTACAAGACGACAATTTTCTTTTTCTTCTCTGAAAAGCTAACTCTTCTGCAACTAAGAGCACCTTGCGTGAAAAGATAAAACTAAGAGTTATGTTACCTGCAAGAAAGGTGTAAACACAAGTTAAGAAGGAATATAACATCAGGCTTCCTTAGCAGAAAGATGATGCTTTTACATTCACCTTAACATAGCTACTTGCTTTTAATTATACATGCACTTGGAATTTGAAAGAGAAAGTTAAATAGATAATCTGCTTTTATCTTATGACTGAGCAGCTTTTTTAAAAAGCTACCACTAGATGGTGCAAAAGCTTAAATAATTCATAAATCTACAGCGCTTCCCCCTGCCTCTTCCTTCCCCGCCCCCAATAAAGCGCACTCAGCAACAGCAGGAGAGAACACACAACTGGGAAGCAAACTTATCTTCTATAACCTAGTCAAAACTAGCTTTCCCCTAGACGTAATAATTCACTCCCTTCTTTGGCACTTCTTTCAAACAGGAGAGAACAACAGTTGCTCATCTGAGGGAAAATTGAACGGTAATGAAATCGCTATGACTCCCTAAGGCTCTCTGAGAGCTACAGGAGGAGGGAAGTAATCGACCACTGCAGATCAGGGTATCCAGAATGCTATTCTTGGACTTGAGAAACGCAAATTGAGCTCCCTCTTCTGCTGGACAGACTAGCTCAGCAAACCCAAAAGCAAGTCTCTTAACTTCACTGCATCTCAGTTCTCATGTGGAAATAAAAATTAATGGAGCTATTAGTACTTGCAACCTCAGATAGATGCTGAAAGGACAAACACATTCAAAAATTATGCCATATTCCAGAACTGTGAAGTATTTCAGTATATGTATGAGAAGCACATAACAGCTTTGGCATTCACTTTCCCTTGGCCTACAGTACTCTAAACAGGTGCATTTTGATTAGTTTTAAAATGAGCTATGATGACTTTCAGAAGTCTCTTACCTGCTACTGTAGGGGATCAGACCCAGTTACTCAGGAAATGCTTCTACTGTGCCCTTACCTCTTCTTTTAGGGCCTACTATTTCATCTCCTGAAGCTCTGGATTTTGAAGAAAGCCTGGTGGATCAAATGTATTACTACACAGCTAAAACGGTTACTTATGCCTATCCTGGTGGTCAAGTACGGCTGGATTTTTATTTTAGTAATTTCATTTAAACATTTATCAAGAGTTCCAGGAACCACTTATTACAAATTAAATTAAACTGATAAATAGAACAAAATGTCTTCTCCAGTTCTAGATGCACAGCAGGAAGTTCTGAGCTTACTTTGTTCACAACCAGCAGAACTAGAAGCCTAAAGTGTATGTTATTCCAAAACACATTTTTTTAATGATCATCAGTAAACAGATTATAACCGAAGTTACAAGTAATGTGCATTTAAGCCTATAAGAAAAAGGAAAGTGTTGGGTAGGTAACATTAGAAGTAAGTCAGGTAGACAAGGTAAATTTTCTATCAGCTAGTAGACATCAAACAGACTATTTAATCAGGTTTGTGAGAACACACAGAAAGCACACGTTTCACAGGGAAGAAACCTCCACCCAGCCATAACTACCCTCCACATGAACATTAGAAAAACAAAGAAAAAAAATGCTAACACATACACCTATGAAACAGACCAGGAACTGCTACAGGAATTATGAGAAATCCCCTACAGCATATGCAACTGGGAGGAAGAACACTAGGTTAGAAAACAGATTTGAAAAAGAAAGGAGACTGTGCCTAATACATTAACAACTAAGACCTGAAAACCAAGATAACTGAGAAGACTCTTCCCACTCTGGATGCATCATGGGATAAAATTCCCCCTAGGAGATGACAGGACCTCCACTAAGCTAAGCTAAAACTTTGGTGGAAGTATCATCAGGGTGCTCACATGGGATGGCAGAAATTCAAGCTTGTGGCTTTCACTACAGGAAAGAACATTTCTTGGATATACACAATACATTTAGCTGTTAAGCCTTTTACTGCTCTGAACACATTTACTCTGCTTCTAAAAAAAAAAAAAAAATCATCAAGTCTGTAACTTTTTGCCAGATTGTCAAAGGGAAATGGAACTGGCAACTGCAGAAAGGTACCACAGGATTTTTCAGGAATTAAACTGCCCAAAACAGATAGCAAGTGTGCCCTTTTCCCCCTGTGCTGCACTAAACAGAAGTGTGTAATAAATACGTCATCAATATGAACAACAGACATGAATATAGCTGCAAAGAGATAGAATGAAAGTCCAACAAAAATCCAGTAGCTTGATTATTCATGGGGAAATTGTATAATAATAATAATAATAATTCAGTTACAGTCAATTCCTTTTTCATACACAATATAAATTCTTTAATATAATGGAATAATGCAGCCATATAGTTACTAAATAGCTTCGCTGTATAAAGTTCAGAAATAGTGATGTAGCCTCTTTTAGTTGGTACTATTCCCATAGGAAGTAGAAGAGAATCTCCTTTTCATTTAAGGATGACCAGAAAACAATACAAATAAACATTGAGGGCACATCTACACTACAATGCCTTTACTAGCATAGCAAGTGATCTATGTCACTACTATTATATAAAGAATGGCCTATCTCACTACATCAGAATAGCTGTCGGCCAACTCCTGTACTGAGAGGCAGTTTATCCTGAAATGAACTATTATGCCACCTCCTTAAGTACCATAAGGAGAAATAATCTAATCACATACTTCTATGCTGGCAAAATTATGTTTACGCTGGAGGGTTTGCTAAGATGAGGATTTTGCCAGGCGAAGCCTAAACTTAAGTTCACACAAATGCAACTACTCACTATGGTTAATGAAGTGCCACCTTCAATGTCTTCATCCCAAAGTACTGCTAGGGCACCTCCCTAGCTCAGTACACTTCACTTCCTCCAAGATGCAGGATGAAGCCATTTCAGCAAGAGCTGTCCTTTGTAAGATGGTAGATACTCTTAACATCTAAATTGGATGAGAATCCTGTTCTACTTACTCCCTTTTCCTTTCCTAACAAAGCTCCTGCCACTTGGTTGCAAATTTGGCCTCCATCCTCTTTGTTCTAATGCTGCTGCACACACGGCAACATGTTCTTACTGCAGACAGGGCCGCTACACAGAGTAGGGGACCAGTTGAAGAGAAACAAGGAACAGGGGACTCCAGATGACTCTGAATCTCAGCCTCAGCTAACCCCTATATCTGCTGGGGGAAAGTCATCTTTGTTGCCCCGTGAGCATGACTGCTGGCAGTTCTCTTTCGAGGCCAGGCTGTTGCTTTCAAGATCAGCTTCCAGTTGACAGAATTTTAGCTTAATTGCCCCACCGCAGGCAGGATGATACTTATGGCCATTCTGGACAGCAGCAGGGATCCAGGTGTGACCCAGTCTTGCAACCTAAGAGAAGCTGTATCAGAAAGCATTTCATGACCCAGGTCAACCCACAAGGAATTACATACAGCACATTGGAACAAATAGAGGTCAGAGACTGTGGCACTTGTGCTTTTGCTGCACAACCCCCATCCTCGCAGCACACATAGGATGGCACGAAAAATAGTTGTCAACTTCGTTTTATATAAGCCACTCCTGAGAAATCTGCTGGCTGATAAGCAGCTGTCACAAAAGCAAACAAGGAAACTCCAAATGAGAGATGCAATTTCCATGGGAATCTGTGCTTTGCCTAACACTGAAAAGAAAGAAGAGGGGTCATAATAGACACTACAAGGGGTTCTGAAGGAGACAGAGAATTTGAAAGCCTGTATTGTATATCTACTGTTCTGATTAAGTTCATAGGTCCTAGTCAGGGAAGATACTACTGCACATTTTTCAGCAGATCTCTTACATTTGCAGACCTGATCCCTCTGGGTGCCCAAGAATATTCATGAGCCAAAATGCCAATCTAAATGAGGAAGATTATCTTTACAATTAAGGCTTAGGTACTCACACAGCACCTCATACTGTAAAAGAGATTACATAGTGAAAATATTTAACTTCAGAAAAGCCCTGTGAGACATGGAAGATCAGTTCCACAAAAGGAGTATAAAAATGAAGTATCAAAAAATTAAATGACCATTGCTTTTGACCATTGCAAAATCTGCCACTAAACGTGAAATTGAATCTCACTCGCCAAAGTCGCAGGCTAGCACTCTGAACATCCTTGTCTTCTCTGAAGCAGAAATAGTTTCTTTGCTTTTTGCTTACCTTATCTCTTTATTGTTAGAGAGAGTAATAGCACTGGAAGAATACCGAAATATATGTACAGACTGTACCCAAGCTGCCCCTTTTCTTGAAATATTAGCCTCCAGATTAGTATTCTGTGAAATCTGTAGGATACCTAATGGAAAGATGGCATGACCAAAATTTATGTCAGTCATTAATTAGGATAGAGCAAGGTCAGACAACATAGCTATAAAAAGAAAACTGAAAAGCATTTTCTCTATTAACTGAAAAATATACAACTTTTAGACTGTTAGAAGTTCAGACTTCAGCCCACTGTATGTGCACACTTATGTTTTACTGGGCATAAATGTGGACCTGTAACTGCTGTCTAAATAGACATCAGAAGAGACAACTGAAAGGCTTCCCTTCTCTCACACACACTTTTTTTCTTTTTAATCCAAAAGTTTTCTATTTTCTAATAAAAAGCACCACAAAGTATAAGAAAAGACGGAAAGAACTGAAGGAAAGTGTAATCTGTCTGAAAAATAAATGTTTTACTGGGCATAAATGTGGACCTGTAACTGCTGTCTAAATAGACATCAGAAGAGACAACTGAAAGGCTTCCCTTCTCTCACACACACTTTTTTTCTTTTTAATCCAAAAGTTTTCTATTTTCTAATAAAAAGCACCACAAAGTATAAGAAAAGACGGAAAGAACTGAAGGAAAGTGTAATCTGGCTGAAAAATAACTTCATTTTAGTTATTCTAATAACTTTAAAAGAGAGATTTTCCAAGTAAGTATAGGCATGAATTGATGAGATCATATGAAAGAAAGCATTTCTAGTATACTCCTTTCTGGAGTTCAGTTAAATACTTGTGAGAGAAAGCATGTGAAATGCAGAAAAAAAACAGTCTGTCGTGCCTGTCCCTCCCCCCCCAAAAAGGCTTATGTAACTCTGACTTCTAGGTCACTGAAATAATCTGATACAGATAAATTAATGTATGAAGAATACAGTCTGCAGCTGCTGACTGGCTTCTTCATCAAGTTGAAATGTTGAGTCCTTTTCTGGTATGACTGCCATCCTTTCCACGGCTAGCACAGACAAGAGAACACGGAACAAGCAGATCTACTCTTCCTTTAACCAACAGGTGAGTGGGCTTATTTCATCCAGATAAGTGCAATGCTAAAAGCCATGGCATTCTTTAGAAAAAAAGAGACAGTAAGTTATTCTTGCATTACTAAGCAGGCACTTGCCCAAGAACATTGTATTCACATATTTTAAAAACACAAAACTTGTTCTGTAGTAATTGATGATTCTGCAAGGTGACAAAAACTAACTCTGTCTACTCATTTCATAGAATGAATTGAAAACCTGCAAGAGAAAATACAGCTGGTTTTGCTTGAACCATGTGTACACAGCCAACATTTTTTAACTTAAAAAGATAGTCAGATTACTTTCTGATTCGATTCAAAAACAGTGCTGCACAAAGCAAATAAATGCACCCAGAACCTGTAACGTTTGAGAAGAGTTTTGACACAAAGTTGCTTTTCCTTTCACCAGCAGTACTCATCTTGGTGATTATTTTAGTCAGGGATTATTTATTTTTCCCCCTTGAAGAAAATAACTTCCTTTTCCTCTTGTTTCCAGTAGAACTAACTCATAAACTCAGAAATTACCCCACACTAAAAGGAAGCTAGAGTCCTGTGTCTCAGTAGGATAGAGATTTGGACAGATAGGAGTGCGTGTATACAGAAAACAAAGTCACACTTAGCTGAGGGAGAATATTCAAGGATGTACAGAGAACACAAAAGTTAACAGGCAATGTGCTATACATAACTTCAGTGTTAGAGGCAGTGTCTAGTTCAAATACTCACTGAGAGACAGAACAGGAGTTGTTGACTATGGATGAAAGTTCTCTCTCATAATACTTTTGTACTGACGCTACTAAATAGCATATTGGAAACCCCTTACAGGCTACAAAGGAACAC